ACCGATATTTCACTCCGCTCTCAACACAGATCTTGCGTAAAATCGAGCTCTTCATATTGCCCTTGTGGAACAAATTGTGAAGTGATCTCAACACGTCTACAATTCTCATCACAAATTCGTGTTTCTCCCCCGTGTTGCGGCTCACGAACGCCAATCTAGGAGCGCTGAACGAACCAGAAGGTGACACATGCTCGGAGCTAGTACAACTGGATTGATACTTCTCACTTACCGACAGCAGTTTGAGCCTCAAATTTTGAGGGGAGACGCAGACACCTAGTGACGAGAAGTAGACGAATAGTGGTCTGCCAAGCTCCCTATGGAGACTGCCATCAGTACGGCTGTTCCTACTTCCTCCATAGTAGTGCTCCAGCCCGAACACCAACACTTCTATGAGCCCGATGCACTACAGATGACGATAGGCTTATGTTCGGAACCCGAACTCCGGATTCGCTTGAATCTTCACACTCACATCAATATGCTTTCCTGATATCATCGGACCCAGAGCTGATCGCTCTATCGTCCAATAGTTGCGCGTTGTGGACTCTGTGTGCCCAATCTGTCCCCCCTGGTAGGCTATGGCTAGCATGAAGTTTTCCTGAGGTAGTTGTTATGCTGCTGGTGTATTCAGTCTCTTCCTCCGGATAGCAATGCTCCGGTTACTATTACAAATCAATGTCAACGGGAGCTGTGGTGTGACATCCCCGCTTGAGCCCTTCGACACCTCGACAGTGATCATAGCCAGCTCATGCCTTGTAGAGCATACAACACAGATGAGCACATACTTTGCTCCCCAAAGTTTGGTGCCACTCGAAGAGAGCATGTGGAATATCCGACTGTGTAGGCTGTGGTTCTCTGGATACGGAGAATTCCTCAGAGGAATTTCCTTTGCAACTCGTTGGGAGAATCAAGACTACTGTCAACAAAGCTCGCACAGAAAGGCAGTCGATGATTGCATCGCAGCACTGAGATGAACTCGTCGATAGCACTTTCTTCTCAAGATGGACAACAAGTTACCACAAGCGGATCGTTATCGGATCGAACTCCTATGACTGCACATCGATCTTCGCATGCATCTTGTGTACGCAGTTTTGCCCTCGTTAATGCATGGTTAAAAGAGACCGGTGCCTATCGTCATCTCGATCACTAGTCCACCTAGTTCTTCTATTTCCGTCCCACCCGACTGATCATACCGATTCATGCGTGCCGTCTTGCGCATCAATCTCAGAGACGAAAACTCAGCATCGCAACGCGAAAACCCATGAGACTCTCCAGACTGCTTTTCACTAGATGGTATTGAGATATGCTACATATTAACAGATCAGTGTAGACAAAAGTAAACGTCGAGTTAGCAGAACGATGGTAATAAACTTGGCTTCTACACAAGAGTTTCTCATACCAACTTTCTCCCAAATCATCACGACGACACCGACCATGTGAGTCCGCGGCCGCCATCACTGCGAAAAAATGTAAATGAACGTGGAGGAACCGTCAGCGTCACGCGCCACGAAATACAATCTACCAGCGATACTTGGCGACAAGCCGAATAGCCACATAGTGTGCCGTCATGATGTTGCCTTTGTATACCGACGCCCAATCCTCCCGCTTGTTCTCCATAGCATACCGTAAAGTACTGCGCTTTATCTGGATGCCATGATTGTAGATCGCTGTGGCTAGACACACACCAGCCGTCAGCATAGTGCCTGCGGCAATGAAAATGCAACTACGACGATGACAATAATTTATGCGATAAATACAAAACAATTTCTGTTCGTTCGCAAGAGTCTTTCTCTTCCGAAAACAAAATATGATAACCACTTATTGTTTCCGTTTTTCGAGGGCTTTTTTAGTCGGAGAACTTGGTGATAGAGTCTGTGAGATACGTGACTGATTATTGTTGGAAAGTATGCATATGGTCAACTGCATGTGTCAGTGGCAATATGGGAATTCTGAGGAAATTTTGGAAAAAAATTCTTATTGGTTTCTCAACACCTCTACCGCAATTCGTAAATAAACTCCTATAAGCACTGAGAAAACCGCTGAGCTCAGTTTTACTTTTATACACGAAAGTATCCTCTCAAGAGCGAGTCCACATTACTACCAGCTGTTCGGTATCTTCCTTTCCTGAACGCGAATATCGACAGTCCCAGCGTGCTGATACCTATGCACCACATCCCTCACTGCCCAGCTGCGAACTCGGACTTACCAGCCACAACAGAAGTCGACGGGGCAGCTACCATCCACATAGCATGGCTGATCGGAGGCGGCATGTCCGGTCTTATCACTGGATGGGCTTTCTTATACCTACCAACAATGCATCGCTCCGCCTTTTGTTAACGAATCATATTACTGTATAATGGCCGCCGCAGTCCTGCGATCGATGCGAACACTCGGAAGTCCTGTGAATGCTGTCGGGAGTTCACGACTCGTCCCGACCTTCAACACCATCTGTCTAGTGGAAGCTTCGCCGTTCCGCTGCTGAGTCGTTGATAACCAA